TTTCAGGATATAAAGCTCTGTTACAACTTCATAGCTTAAAGTAAATTTTGTGCTTCATAATAATGTTATGTGAACAAAACTGAATGCAGCCAAATCATTGTCATTAAATTTAACCTGACCTGTTTGAACAAAGTAATTGTAACACAAAGCCTGAACAGCAAACACTTTTTATTAAACAGTTATAAATGTAAACAACTATTTTTTGCTTACAGCCATATTACATTGGAACACTGATTCCTGTACAATCACTGAAGTTAAGCAATGTCAAGCCTGGTCAGTATCTAGATGGGTGACAGCTTGAGAATACCAGGTGCTGAAAGGTTAGATGTATAGGTGGTCTAATAAATAATGACTCAGAATTGTTTATTGCAGAGCTGAGTTCCAATTCCATTCAGGTTCATTATATTCATTTATGTGTAAATACCCTTTGGAAAGGTATGAACCCAGCTCCTCTCTCTCCAGCTATGGGTTAATTAGTAAGACTTGTATTTTTAAATCTTTATTATCTCAAAAAATATTTTCTGGCTTTGTATAACCTGCAAAGGGTTCATAAACCATAGAAAATGAATCAATCATTTTCATTCTTGTCAATCAGTGACAGTTTTGGGGTGAATAAAAATTGTATAATATTTTTAGCATTATTTCCAATAATATAAAAATACATTTGATGTAAAACAAGCCACAGTGAAATAAATTATGATTTTATTAGCATTTACTTTGTTCAAATATTTATTTCTTTTTAAAATTATTTTTTATTATAGAATTAATAAAAATATTATTTATACCTGATTAATAAAGAAAGTTTTGTTGGAATGTTTTCAACAAAGACAAAGAAGAAGCTAACTACTACTCCTAATTGGTATTTAGTCTACCTGACATGGACAAAATATTGTAAAACTAAAACCCTTTATTCATTCAAATATAAAAAACAAGAAGTAACACTTCAATTCATATTAATTCAGTAACTTCAAACATTACTTATTAAAAAAATATCAGGTAAAAAAAAAAACAGTGTTTCAAAATAACCGTTTTCCCTTGACACCACTATTATTTTAACTAGCTTCACTCCTTGACAATATTATTTTAAAAAAGCAATGATTAGAATTTTAATAAAATCTTTTCATATTTATTTCTTTATAAAATAGTAAATAATAAAGATTTTCTTATAATGGTTCTAATATTTTAATAATTTAGTAAATGTTCATAAATTTATGAATAAAAATTGTTTTTATATTTATTTCTTTACAAATTGGTAAATGAAACATATTGCATTAGTTTTAATTGTATTAGTTTTAGAATGTTTCAAATAGAAAATTATTCTTGTACATAAACACTAATAAACAGTGTTGTTGTAAATTCTCAAGACCAAAAAAAAAGAAAATATGATATAAATTCACTTTCATCGTATGCTTAGGTTTTATCACAATACTAATCATTGTTTTATAAAATTTAAGGTTGCATGTTAGTGTAATGTAGGTGTGTACATGTTCACATATAAACAATTAATGGAGAAGCAACAAAAACTTGGGTTTCTACTCCAGATGTTTTTTTTTTTTTTATTATAGAAACTGTAGGGAAACAAAATGTCTCTTGGGTACATCCATTTTCTTTTTCTGGTCCAGAAGTAAATTAGGATAAGTAATGATAAGAATGGTTAAAGATCACAAGTCAGCTTTGTGCTGAGTTGGAATGACCAAAGTAAAGGCTGAACTTATTTCATCGAGGTTGGAAAGTGGAAAGAGAGTGCTATTCTCTCTTTCGTAGAAGTGGGATCATAAAATTGCGCAGATGACCAAAACACTTTCTGGATCATTTATTACCAACATCATAGGAAAATGTATTTATTTTTTATTCTTTGTATTCTATATTATTATTTTATTTATTGATTTTATTTCATTTTCCCACAGATTTTTAAAAGACAGCCTAATAGTTTTTAATAAAATAAGTAATGTTTTAAGTTACTTAATTAATTTGAATTAAAGTCAGGTTTGTTGGGGTTTTGGTTTTACAATATTTTCTCTGTATCAAGTTTTGATGTCAAATGAATCAGGAAGATGTTTAGTTTAAATCATATAACAGAAGTGGATTCATATATCTTCAATTTAATATACAGATATTTTACAGCATAAATGCTATAATATACTTGATTACAAATTTTTAGTAAATGAGCTCAGCTATTTCTGTAATGACAGTTTGTAATTTCTAAAGAGTTCAGGGATTTTATTTTTTAATCCAACATATATTTATTACTTCAAACCTTATTTTTAGTTGATACATTTTATTTTAAACACTATTTCATCTACCTGCCTGCACACCTGAAAAAACTTATTAAATAAAATGTACCCTAAGTTTTCTCAGTTGTGCCGAACCATGTAACTGACCACTGACCACATTGAAAAAGGCCCACACTTCATGCTGATGTTATCCTTTTATTTAGGAAATACCAGTGAAAACTTGAAATAAATAACAAATATATCCTTCAAAAGTGGAAACAGATAAACAAATCAGATTTCAAAGAAATACACAGTGTTATATGGGAATAAAATGTCGCGCCGACACTTGAGTTTGAACATAGATCACCAGTGAGCAAACACAGCCGATCCCATTATTGACTCAAGTAGACCATGTGACCATAGAGGAAAAGCCTAAGTAGGAGGTTATTTCATACAAAATATGATTTATGTTAAACCACTGATTCTTACTGTTATATAGGAATAAAGTGTCGCTGCCGACACTTGAGTTTGAACATAGATCACCAGTGAGTAAACACAGGCGATCCCATTATTGAATTAAGTAGACCACATGACCATAGAGGAAACACATATATGGGATGTAACATGTGTCTAAATGATCACATTTCTAGTCTATCCTCTCTTACTATTTGGATCATCATTTCTAGTCTATCCTCTATTACTATACAAACTACTATTCTCTACTCTATTCACTGTTTCTCTATTCAGATCACTGTATGGTGGTTACTTTCAAGCAAGTACTATTAGTGCGAGTGTTATTCGAAGGCGCCTGACACAAGCATTGTTCAACGGCATACTATAGCTGTATCTGTGATTACAAAGTCTCTACTATAACGAGCATTACAAAAATGACAGTGAGTATTCGTTGGCATTACAAAAGTGGCAATCAGTGTTCATTGATATCACAAAATAAAGAAAAAACTTTTCAAACAGAAACAATATCAACTCAGAATAAACTCAAAAAAGTGATAAAGGGACATATGCTGTCCTAAAGGAGAATTTCAGAATTAGAAGTAGGGAACAGAGAATTACCATACTGCCTCTTTGACTGGCAATAGCTAAAAAAACATGTGGTAGTTTCCTTACCCACAAGGGGTCATGTGGTAGCTGGCTCACAGTAATTACTGCTAAACACATAATGTCTATTTTTATATTTTTACAGAACATTAAAAATTCTCAATTTTAATATTACTACTGCTTTGTTCTGGGTATGACAATAAAATACATCTGGCAGCAAGGCCTCTGATCAGGTTTTGGGAAGCATAGAACCATCTCTTAATTGCTGTTATTCCCAGGTACAACCCTGACTTGGGGTGGTACAACCTGTTAGGGTCCCAGCTATAGGCAAATAGTGAACCCTTGAACTGGATTCAAGACACTATGAAAGTATAAAAATAGATTTTTATAGTAAAATTACCAGCAATATGTTTTTGAAGAAAAAAAATATATTACCTGTAATATATTTTTGAAAAAATTTTTTTACTAGGAATGGTAAATATTTATATGAACCTATCCTAAAAATCTTGTCAGCATTAAATAACACATTGAAATTGATATGCCATAAAACAAAATAAACCAAACCAAACCATTACTACTGCTACCATGTTACTACCAAGTCATAAAATCTCTAAGCCTGGAAATGCATATACCTGTTTCTTTAGTGACAGTTACAAATAGTAGGCAAATTAAATACTGTTTAAAATAAATGGAGTGTCTACTCAAATATGGGTATTGACTAAAAATAGTGTTTGAAGTAATAAAAATATGCCTGATTAAAAAATGAAATCCATTAACTTTTTAGAAATTTCTTTGTTCACATTTCAGATATACCTTTCAAGAGAATCTGCTTTAAAGGAAAAATAGAACTTCCATTTATTGTGAAGCTCTTCGTAGCTGAATAGCTTTGTTGTTTTTGTTTAGTGGCATATCAATCCATCTAGATTATTTAATGCCGGAATCTAAATATGAAAATTCAAACTTTACAATTTATTCAAGAGAATGACATTGTTTTGTAATTAAATTATAATTACTTAGCTGCATTTTTTTCCCAAATAAACTTACAAAATCAAATGAGTAGTGAAATCTTGTTTCTCCTTTCAAGGAATTGAATAACCCATTGTAAATTGTAAATTTTTTTTTTTTGATAATGTATGCTGTGTTTTCAATTTTGCTATAAAAAGTATTGTTTGAAATTCTACTATAAAAATGTATTGTTGGAAATTTTTTCATAAAAATCTATTGCTGGTATTTTTACTATAAAATATGAAAATAGATCCCAGCAATACATTTTTACTAACAAGTGATTCCACTAGATTATACCTGGTAACAACAGTATTTCAGAGGTGGTTTCACAATCCTCTAATTTCCCAATCAGAGGCCCAGGCCAAATGGTCTCTCTCGAAAGGGGATGCAGGGTTGCATCCTGCCAAAGGACACATTTTCTTTAATAAGTTTTCTCAAGCATGTAAGCTAATAGACAAAATAAACACTATTTAAAATAAATGGAGCATTTACTCAATGGATATTTGTTAAAAAAAATAATGTTTGTAGTAATAAAAATGACAGTGTGTGTATTTAAACAAGTTTTGTTAAATTCACCTGCCTCTTCAATTTTTATTGTATTTTTTCTCATATTGAATAAGTACATCCAAATCAAAATTGCAAATGAACTTTCCAAAATTCATGTTTTTGTTCTTTCTAACATCTCAGTCATTTATCGAGTACTAAATGTTGTCAAGGCTTACATTTTGAAACACCAGTTGTCCAATCACTGAAGTTAAGCAATGTCAAGCCTGCTCAGTACCTAGTTGGGTGACTGCTTGGGAATACCAGGTGCTGTAAGGCTTGTTGAGGGTGTGGTTTAATGGACAATGGCTTGAAATGGGAAATATCAGAGTTCTACTTCCAGTTGGGTTCATTATATTCATTTATGTACAAATACCCTTGGGAAAGATATGAATCCACCTCTTCTCCCCCCCAGCTATGAGTTAAATAGTAGGGCTTGTATCAAAAAATAATTCTTGAAAACTTCTTACAATCCAAAAATATCTGCTGGCTTTAAATAACCTGCAAAAGGTTGATAAACTGTAAAAAAAAAAAAACCAAATCAATTTAATCATTAAATCAGTAAATATCAGTATAGTAAACAAAATTTTGTTGACTACATCCTGGTATTTTTTGTAACACTACCCTTCAAATGGGCATGTGGCCAAGTGGTTAGTACGTTCACTTTCTGACCATGAGACCCAGAATTGACCCAAGCCTTGTGAGTGAAATTGGGTAGATGGGACACAGGGGTTGTCGATAGCAGTGCTACCACATCACAAGTCATCGTCACCGAGGGTTTGAGTGTGCTGGCCTTGTTCAAATTGTTGATCATGCTAGATAACATGCTCTCTCCCAGAAACTGTAACTAAGGTCTGCTCAGCATAGTTGCAGTATAAACCACAGGTGGTTAGTACGTTCACTTTCTGACCATGAGACCCAGGTTTGAATCTCACCCCGGTTGATTTGTCAGGAAGGAGACTTCTTGATGTTATTGGTCTAGAGCGGGACGATCCCAGCATGCGGCACCTTTGGAAAGTGTTTGAAAACTGTACCACGAATTGACCCAACCCTTGTGAGTGAAATTGGGTAGATGGAACACAGGGGCCATCGATAGCTGTGCTACCACGGTCACAAGTTATCGTGACCGAGGGTTTGAGTGTGCTGGCCTTGTTCAGATTGTTGATCATGTTAGATAACATGTTCTCTTCCAGAAACTGTAACTAAGGTCTGCTCAGCATAGTTGCAGTATAAACCACAGGTGGGCTCTGTGGGTGTTGAACAAACACAAATGTGCCTGAGTGAGCGTCTGCAATAGGGATTGGCTAGCCGCCCTAGCAGACAGGTATCCTCAAATATGAGTGGCAAGCTATTATTATTTTATTTACACTTCAAATATACAAGTATCATATGAGTTTCCATGTAGTTTCACATAATTTGCCAGCAGTGGTAAATGAATATATCAAATGTTTTATATGTATTATTATTTTATATTTACTATCCCAATCCTCATCTTACGAACATTTCTCTTAATGATAATTTTAAAATAATTCAGCAGACGATGTTATTTTATTTATGGTAACTGGATTTTTGCCAATTGCTTTACTTGGTTTTGTCATTTGATATTATATATCTGAAATATAGTGTATTTTTTGCTGTCGCCATGTTTTCTCAGCCTTTAGACTGGGACCAAAATGTAGTATCTGTCCTCGAGTGGATAAACTACATTTCAGTTGTGTCTCTGTAGACAGAGTGCAACTGAAAATATTATTGAGAGGTGCCTGGTATCAGGAAACAGCTGCTTGCAGCAGTACCTCACTCATTGCACTAAAGTGTGGGGATCAGTAGTAATACTAATGTCAGTGCAACCGTTGGTTGTGGGGGGTGGGCTATTATTGAACCTGACCTGTATACACATGCTTGAGCTTCTCACATTAAACTGATTTTGTATCACATCCAGCCAGTGTTAGGTGGCAAGAAACTACAATTGCTTCTCAGCCTTTTGGCTAAGATCAAGTGTAGTATCTGTTCTTATCTGCTTAATCTGATTTTCTCTCTCCACTTCATCTTCTCTTCTTTCTCTCTCCACTTCATCTTCTCTTCTTTCTCTCTCCACTTCATCTTCCCTTCTTTCTCTCTCCACTTCATCTTCCCTTCTTTCTCTCTCCACTTCATCTTCCCTTCTTTCTCTCATTTTCTAAGTGAAACCAAGGAGTATCTTTTCCCCTCTCACAATTAAAACTGAATAGTCCATTATTTATGGGATTTTGGCAGGGTGAAATAGTCATGAAAACTAACAAAAGAAGGGATAAGCACAATTATAATAGGATACTAAATACTTTCTAGACAATTTAAAATATCATCTTATGTGGTGAAAGATATTTTATTTATTGTAGATTGTTTTTTGTTTTTTTGTATAATAATACCTTTGAGCATTTTGTGTCTTTCCTTACAGTTCTGTATAGTATTATGGTGTTGTCTATTAATATTTGCCCTATGTTAATAGTTGTATTTTAGTTGTTTATAATGTTGTGATCGATATATGCACAAATTGTTCTAAGTTTTGATAAGGGACAAGTTAATCTATGAGAGAGTGTAGTGATTGCACGACCAATGTAAATTTCATGTTGCTTATTTTATTATTGATATTGGAGGTGCAATCTTTCAAAGGTCATGAGTATTTATAAATAACATTGTTATCAGTAATGATTAAATTAGAGGTTTTAAGATTTTTATAATAAATAGTAAATCAAGAGTATTTATAGAAATCATTAAGTACTAGTGAATAACATTTTTAATGCCTTTGTCATCTTGTTTATATCAAGAGAATATCTGGTTACAGTAGAATAAATTAATGATTTCTTTTTATATTGGAATAGGTTTTTTCTTTTTTTTTTCTAAAGTTCATTAAAGCTAATTTTTTTTTTTAATTTACTGACATAAGTTTCATGTAACAAAAGCCCACAGTAATGGTGCATTTATTTGACATGGACTTACAATAGAAATTTGCTAGAAATTTTGTTAACTATTGTACTGTGACAAGCTCTCTCATATATGTATGCATCTATGAGGGGGGTGCTGAAAAGTTATTGGCCTGGCCAAGAAAGGATTTCTTTTTTAATGATTTTCTCCTAAGCAAGGTGATAATGCCACTAGGATGCAAGGGGTTACAGGAAGTGAAAGAGAATGAGAAGTTTTTAGTGAGTAGAAAGGACAATAGCAGAACAGGATTCAGGAAGCCAGAAGCTGGCGATTGTCATTACATTGACATTTTTGAAGATTGAAAACAAGTGTTAATGTTTAGTCAGATTATGCAAAATAGGCCAGTCTGAGAACTTTTCAGCAATCCCTCTTGTATCTATTAGGGGGTGCTGAAAATTTCTTGGTTTGTCAAAGGGTTTCAAAACACTGATGTTTGATTATTCGGTCAGATTTTGCAAAATGGTTCAGACTGAAATCTTTTCAGCACCCCATGTTGTATATATGTTGCATATTTGGGCAGCAATCTTTCTTTTATACATGTTTCATTAAATGTGAAAGACAAGGACAATTTTACAAGTTTTTTTCCATTCAGTTTTACTAATGTTCTTACCGTGTTCTTTTTATGTGGACTAAGAGAGTATAGAAACCGTCTATAGTGATTGTTTCAAGTGCTTTTGATTAACTCATTAGTCATTTTCAAGGCATTCATTGTTAGTATATTATCCTGTGTTTATGTTTTGAAGTTCTATTGTGCAGAAGTAGTAGTAATTCTAAGCTGTGCTGGATGAAAGTAGTAATAATTCTAGGTTGCATGTATGTCTGAATATATATGTATATGCCATTAATTCTGGTTCCCAGGTGTTTACAGCTATATCATGTTGAAATACTGGTTCACATATGATCACCGAAGTTAAGCAACATGGAGCCTGGTCAGTACCTAGATGCCTTGGGAATATCAGGTGCTGTAAGCTTGGATGTGCAGGTGGTGCAATGGATAATGGTTCAGAATTGTTAATCGGAGCACCGAGTTTGTTATATTCAATTATGCAAAAATAACCCCCTGGGAAGGTATGAATCTACTTATTCTCCCCTCAGTTATGGATTAATTAGTAAGACTTGTTTTACGGAATCATTATTATCTCAAAAAATAAAATAAAGTTGTGTACAAAATATTTTGATTTTGGCATTAAATGACCCATGGAGGTGCTGATATATGCCGCTAAACAAAAACAACCAACCAACTAGTTCCCATGTATATTCCACTATATTAAGTTAATATCTACAATTAAAAAAAAAAAAAAACACCAAACTGATTTAATATTTTTAAATATAAATTATCTTTACTTTTTTAAAACTGATGCTTTAAGTTATTTAAAACATTTCTGGAAATGAAATATTGCCATCTTTTCCTTTACAGGTCACCTTTGGATAGAATATTGGCCCCTTTAAGAAATTTATTTTTTTACTATTGTTTATCCAATAAAAGGCCCAAGAGCCACTCAAAGTAGGGATTACTGAATGAAATTGTTGTATGAACGTAAGAGGAGGAAGTAAGAAATACTGATTATGGGGATATGGCTATGAGATAGTGGTTGACCCTAAACTAGAAGAGGTTAAGATTGCAGCAATTGGGGAAGCATCTTCTTGGAAGTCTGTTCCACAAAGTAAAGTTTTCAGGAAAAGGCTGTCAGAATAGAACTTCCTCCTTACCAATGGAATATGAAGAGAATATGGATGTGTCTACCTTTTGTATATGGTATGACAGCTCTTATAAAAGTCTTAACTATTGGAATTAAGGAATTCTTCCATGGAAATAGTAAGGGAATAGTGACAGGCTTGCAACAAATCATTTGTGGAAAAGGGGTTGCAGGGTGGAAAATATTTTGTCCCCTATCAAAGCTATATAGACACTTTTGAACTCAATCAAGGCTGGGAAGTCAGGATTAGGCCTAGTAGGAGGAGTCAGATACTTACTGGATTGGTACAAGAATCTGACCATTTTTCAAGCATTTATAGTGATGGATCATGATTATGTTCTACCTGAGGTTTGGAGTTTACCTTGAATTCACATAAACTTTTATGGCAAGGAGTCTCATTGGGAGTACAATGAGAGGAGAAAATTCAGTGTCTGCTTGATGACTTGTTATTAGCTTTGTTTTGGAGGTATTGAATGCAACAAGCCAGTCACCCCCTATTGAGCTGTTATTTACTATTTGCATTTCCCAGTGAGTCAATTTAAAAAAGAAATAAGAGAAACCAGAATGTAAAATTATGCAAGTGTGAAAATTTCTAGCTGAACCGTATTGCTTTCAGCTTTCGTCATAAAACACCTGCTGTTTACAAAAGTTGATACCTACACAAAAAGATAGACAGGTGTGTAAAATGATTATTATGTTTTTAATTAGGTCAGGCACAGTAATGACTTCTCAAAAAATATTAATTTTGTTTTAATGATTTACATAACATTTTGTTTTATACTAAACTCCACTGATTTTAGTAATCCTAGTTGAATCTATTTTAGTTGCACGGTACCACACCTTTCTCAGACTAATATCTGTGTCTTTGTTGTTTTCATCATCACATTTTAAATGATCTGTCTTTTGGATCATAAAATTCAAAAGACAGATGCCATTAGATGTACAAAAATCTTGATGAATTTATTGACAGAAATGTAATGAAAACAATCAAGATAGTGATGCTCTCTGAAAATGGTGTAGAATAAGGAATATACCTAATCTTAGAAATTTAGAAACATAAAAATTTATTAGAAGAAACATTGCTAAAACCAAGATAAAAATACTAATCTGAAAAATGGACAGAATACTTTTTAATACAGTGGAGTAATGGATAGCCGCTTGGATTGCGGAATCAGAGAGCCAATTCCTGCCGAATCCATTACATTCACTTATGTGCTAATACCCTTGGGGAAGGTATAAATACTCTTCTTCTTCTTCCACCCAGCAATGGATGAATAGCAGAACAGACTGGGCAGCTTGGATTGAGAAATCGGAGAGCCAAGTTCAAATTCTAGTTTAGTTTTACATTCACTAATTTGCTAATACCCTTGGGAAAGCTATGAATCCTCTTCTTCTCCCCCCAGCTATGGGTAAATATACAGGACAGACTGGGTTCTATAGCCTTGGATGGTAGCTGGTCTACCATAGAAAGAAATGGCAACCTACTGCAGAAAAAAAATCTGCCTTGTCAGTCATGTATTGAAAGATACATGATCGCCTCAGCATGTATCACGCATGGCACATAACTGACTGAATAGCTTTTCATTACACCTATTCAGTCCTTCATTCTGATTTTGTTTTGAACATTGTGAATTTATGGATTCAGTAGGTCAAGAAAGGTTCATACCATTTTATTAATACCAGAGGTAATTGTTCTGTCTTGAAAAATGTCAGATGAAATTAGTGGCAAAAGATTCATTAAAGACTTGGGAATGACTCTAAACATATCTAGAGAGAAATTTCTTTGTTTTGGGTCTTCTTACTCTGACAGTGACTTACTTCCCTGATAGCTATAATCTACAAATATTCAAATGCAATGTCAATCAACATCTCCAGATGCCTTGATCTATTCCCTGTCTTTCTCTTCATTCTTACCTCTATCATGCCTCTTTACTCTTGCTGCCATTCTCTGTAACTCCTTGTGTGTTAGTGGCACTCCCTTCTTGCTTTGGGTCAAATGCTTTAAAAAAAAATTGTTCTTCTAGATAATTTGTCAATGGTAACTGAAAACAGTAAAAACAATGACTGCCTTGAAATGACTGATGAAGTATTAAATGAGAAATTTCATGTGTCTTTTTCCATAAATGGTTCAAAAGCATTTCCTGAATGAGGATCAGATATTGACTCTGATTAAGGTCAGAACTGATCAGATCATGTAGAACTCTTTTGGACAACAGCTTATGATTTATGACTTTATAACAAGTTAAACTTTATTCATTGCAATTTTTAAATGTTTCTGAAACCATCTTTATTGTTTTCATGTTATCTCTGAGCTTGTCTTTGAACCTCAACCTTGGTTGTCCTAGGTTTACACACACACACACACACATATATATATATATATATTTTGGCAACAATCCCTCTTTTGTAAAAGTTTCATTAAAGATGACTGACAAGGTACTGTGATTAAGCTTTTTATTTAATTCTTCTTGTGTTCATATAAGTGTTTTCTTTTCTGGACATAAGGTGTGTAAAAATTGTCCAAATGGTTTGCATACCTGAGAAATTTTGGCTATTCCTTTAGTCATTATCAAGGATGATTTTTATTTTTAACTGAATATATGGATTAAAAAAAACATACCTATAACTCTAGATACATACATAAAAATACATAAATTCAGTTAAAAATAAAAATCATCTTTGATAATGGCTAAAGGAATAGCCAATAGCACTTGGATATGCAGAACATTTGAACAATTTTACACACTTTATATCCAAAAAAGAAAACACTTGTACGAACACAAGAAAAATTGAATAAAAAGCTTAATTGCAGTACCTTGTTTCACCAACTATAATTCTCTCAAACATGTTTTGTTGAATATGGACAAGTTCTGTCTATCAATTTTTTTACTGAATTTTTCAAATTTCTGAATGAGTTTTGTGTTATTGGTAAATTTGTATTAATTTTTATTTTATATTATCCCACTCAACTGAGCACTTTTGAATGTTGCTACATTTGTCTTCAAGGATTGTTCTGTGTGTAATTATGGCAACCAGGGTTACCAGATTAAAATTTCTATTTAAAGCCAAATAATTTGTATAAAAAGTCAGAAAAAAAAGCCAAATAAATGTGAGATTTTATTTATTTATTAAACATAGTGGGATTTTTGGTGTTTTATAATGAAACCACTTTTATTGTTTCAATTTTATAGTGAATATTTTTAGCTGTAAATTCTGAAATTTAATTTATTTAGATAACAAGTCTGATTTGCTGGAAAATCTTTTTTTTGTGTTTTGTTTTCAGAATTTTAATAATACTTTGATTAAAAATCTTTCCAGATAAATTTCATGAGATTTAGATTCTTCAATTGAAAAGTTTTTTTACTGAATTTATTAAATTTAATGAGAGAATAATAACTGTTTTATTAATTATTCATTTTTTTTTTACTATGTGTATTTGTAAAACTTTACTTTATTTAAAGAATTTAATGTTAACTTATGAAAGAAACATCAGAGAAGAGGATTGAGCATGTGAAAGACCAGGAAAAACGGTCATTATTTATTTACTTATATGATAGAGAATTATGAAAGAGAAATTTCTTTCTTTTGATTGGATGCTGAAATTGGCAAAGGTTTGTCAAAGAATCATCATTTTTTTTTTTTTTTTTTTTTTTACAATATATTGCTGGGAGCCCTTCCCTATCTGGATTTAGAATATGATGATAAAAAGGGCCGGAATCTCCCATAATTCAGATGCATCACTGAGGATAAAAAAAAGAAAAGACTGTAGCATAGCAGCTGTAATATACTGTTTATTATATATTTTAGTATGTAAAAAAAAAAAAGCCAAAGCTGCCAAATCAATTCTCTGGCACCAAACCAACATGAAAAAATCCAGATTTCGGAAATTTGCTTTCAAAAAAGTCAGTCTGGCAACCCTGACAGTAACTAGTTTTGAATTCCACCATTCTCATGTTCTCATATGTGATGGAATCAATTTCAAGTTACTCAAGATGATGTCATATAAATGGTCAAACTGAAACAACAAAAAAAACATGCATGGACACATAAAAATTTCAGTTTGACTGTTTATATGATGTCAACTTGAATGACTTGAAATTGATTCCATCACTGGTTCAAGAATATTCCGTTTGTCAAGTGATTGTTATATGTTTCTATCCACAATCAACAAGTAATCCAAATGGACCAATCAGAATGCATGGATCTACAACAACCAATCAAATACCAAAAAATCAAAGTATTACAAGGTCAATGGCAAGAGAAATTTTTAGG